GCTTATGATCTGTTTTGTTCTGTTTAATTTTACCCTCTTTAAAATAAAAAAATTTAAAAAAATAAAAAAATACCCTAATGCCTATAGTATGTCCTTATCTACGGGGAAAATATTGATCAATCTTAATGAAATACTTATGCAGAGTGTCAGAAAAATAGAATTTTATTCTTGTCCTTTCTGATTTTGTTCTTATATGAAGGCAGTCAGTCAAGTCTCTCATTTCTACTTTTATTGGATGTCTGTCTAAAAACAGAGCCTTGCTGGGCATGGTGGCACATGCCTGTAATCTAGCACTTGGGAGGCTGAGGCAGGAGGATTGTTGCGAGTTCGAGACTAGCCTAGGCTACAAAGTGAGCTCAAGGCCAGCCTGAACTGCATAGAGACCCTGTCTCAGAAACAAAACAAAACAACCTTCCCCACAAAAAAACCCCAGAGCCTCTAAGGTCCCAGCCTCATAGAAAGGTGTTGCAGATACTCTCAGTGCTGTCTTAGTACTAGGTTGGGTATGGTGGCACTTTCCTATAATCCCAGCACTCAGGAATCTGAGATAGGAGGAGTGTCATGAGTTTAAGGGTGGGTTGGACTGTATAGTAAGTTCAAAACCAGCCTAAACTACATAGCCAGAGCTTGTTTCAATAAATCCAATAAAAAACCCCAGTACTTCATCAGAGATAAGAAGAAAGATGCCCTGAGGGCATCTCAGAAGTCAGCAGGACCCCAATGCAGGCTTAAGAATGGTAAAGCATTAACCTTCCATTTGAGAAATGAGTCCCAGCCCTGTTCACAAGGACAACGAGGGAGTTAATTTCTCAGGATTTATTTCACTGTGCTCAGTCATGCAGCCACTGAGAGGCAGGAGTCATCATTCAAAGAGACCTAACTACTTCTTCTACTAACAGCAGACTTTGCAGCTTTCTGTACAATGATGTTTTACTAGGATGCAAAGCAAGAACTGTGGGATCAGGGAGGCTTCCACATAAATTTCAGAGAAAACTCTGGCCTTCCAGGCAATGAGACCCTGAGAAGACAATTTGTGAAGCTGTGGGAATAAAGCCAATGGTTGAGTGGAGACCTTGGAAAGCTGGGGATGCCAGGAACACGGAGTGTTTGCCTAGCCAAGCTGCAGGCTATGAGCAAGCCAGCACAAGAGAAAGGCCATGTAGGCTGCAACCAGAACGGTCTTAGGGATGAGGCTTCCTTCTGTTATACTGCTGTGTGCCCTGGACACCAGATACGGAGCTACATGACTTAATGTCTACCTTGCCAGGTTTTAGGCTTACTTTAGTCCAATCCTTTTCTATTCTTTTTTGGGGAACGTTTACTCTGTGCTATTGCACCTTGGGATTATGTAACTTGTTCTGGATTCTTATAAAGATTCACAGCTTTGCCTTGAGTCTTACAGGAAACTGACTTTGATTTTTGAAAAATGCGTCAAGTGTTGAGACTTTGGGGGAAGAGATGCTTACATGTTTGGTTGTAAACAAGATAACTGTATCATGTTAGGAGGAATTATGAATTTGTGTTTATTTTGAGATGAAGTATGGTTTAAGGAGATGTGTGTAAGTGTCCTGCTGAGATGGGATGTGTCTGGTTGGGTCATGAAGGTGTGACCTTGGTGTGAGCTGATTCTTGTTTCCTTTGCCCTGCTGCTTCCTGCTGTGCTTTCTGGATCTCGGCCCTAAGCAGCCTTGCCTCACCCTCCTTTCTGCCAGGATGCCCTTGTGTGGAGCTTGTTCACCATGTACAGAATCCCCTGAAACTGTGAGCTAAATTAAACCTCTTCTTTAAATTGTGGGTGTTGGATGTCCCAGCAATGGGAAATCTAATATATGATGGTTATTTGTGTGGAATACTTTATTATTTTTGATGCCTTATTTTTATGGATACATAAAGAAACACTCTTTCTCTTCCATTTTAAACTATTGCTGACCCTCAATTTAATAGACTATGCATAAGTATACAAAATTAAACTTTTTTAACTGGCATCCGATTTTCATGGATATTTTCAAAATTCAGAAACAAATACCTCTTAGTGAGTCTCCTTTCATGACAAAATCATTCTTTGCATAGGTATAATAAGAATTTATCCTTATTTTTCCAAGACATATTTGGACCAAAGTCATACTAACAGGAATGAATTTGGGAATGATGTTAATAACTGAAAATAAGACTTTCTTATTAAGAAGGAGTTTATTTTATGTCTAAAATCCCTCTTCGTACGCTGGCCTTGATGTCTGTCTCCAGGCCTCAGGCATACTAAAAATCTAGGGAAATTAGAAAATTTTAAATACCTCAAGAAGAGAGGAATTTACACTGATTTTTTTGGTACTATAAGTGAAATCTAGTTTAAAAAAAAAAAAGGGTTTCTTGGATATAGGCCTTGAGCTTCTGGACAGAGGAGCAAATAATCCAAGCTTTTAAAAGTCTGAGACTGCCAAGTGTGGCAGTGCGTGCCTGCAATCCCAGCACTTGGAAGGCTGAAGCAGGAGGATCACCACAAGTTTGAGGCCAGCCTGGGCTACAAGTGAATACAAAAGCAGCCTAAACTACATAGTGAGACCCCTGTCTCAAAAACGGCAACAAGAAAAGTCTTGAGGTTTACTGTGAAAATTATTTAATAGAAGGTAATTTTTTTGGTCTTAGCAGTTCCTCAGTAATGTAAGGCTCTAAATTTGCAGAGAAAACTCAAGATATACTTAGATATACTTAAATTGCTATATGATTATAAATAAATAATCAGGCAAAACAATGAGACTGATCTTTTTGTGGTCATGAATAGCTATGAATGTTATTTAAGATTCTAAGGCAGGAGACTATCAGAAAACTATCTGCAACTTGGGGAAAAGACACAAAGGAAGCACACCCGTTCATTGCCATCTTAGGCCTTGAGACGGCCAAAGGAAAATCAGAACAAGGACTTTGAACTACCTGAAAGCTCGTTAGCGTAGGAAATTCTCAGGCCCACCCCAGAGAGACCAGCTAGCAGCCCAGGGCAGGGCCAAGCTGCCTGAATTTTAACAAGCTCTTCAGATGCCTCTGAGTCACCTCGAATAAAATGGAAGCACCACTAATCTGGGGAAAGTACCATAGTTAGAACAGCTCACTGTTTATTATGAATTAAAGTTCTCAGGTTTACTGAAGTCTCATGTTACCACTGATTTCCATAAAGATGTAAATAATTTCTATCCAGTACAAAAGAAAGCGTGAAGCATTATGGTTTATGGTCCTGCTGGACACTTACACAGATTCATATGTGTGAATATGCAAACTTACACTAACATTTACCGAAAATATTGAAATTTTTGAATGCTCTTAAAATAATTTTGACATCAATACTAGTCTCTTCACTAATTAATGAATGAGAAAGTCTTCAATAGTTATGTGTTTGTTTCATACTTTCCTGAGAAAGGTTTTCAAGCTTTTGAAAACTACTGTCAATATACATCACTCTATGGTGATGTGGTAAGTGTCAGTACTAGGCAGGGAGTGTCTGGATGGCAGGACTTTAACATTTTACCCTTGCATCTAGCAGTGTATGGTAAAGAAACCTCAAATAAATATTTGTGCAATTAACATACATTACCTAAAAGGTATGTGATTTTTAAAAGAGGAATTTTAAGACTGGCTTTTAAATATGAAGTAAGTCCCTGACTTGTGAACAAGTTCCATTCTGGAAAAATGTTCCTAAGTCTTACAAAGTGAGTCGTATGTACCTTTGACACAAATATACAATGTAAAGCATAAAAAACCCCAAACCCCCACATCATCACTGCTTTTCCTCTTGCTTCCAGACGTCCTGGGCTGTGACTGAGCACTGTACAACTGTACACTGTCACCCTGTGCAGCAAGCACACAGCAGCCCAACTGTGACAATGTACTTCTGTGATTTGTTTGCATCTATGAATGTTCATGACGCAAGGTCTGTTCATGGACGTTCCCAACTCAAATATTTGTACGTTGGGGACTTACTGTATTTTAAATTCAACCCAAGACAGGTTGGTTGTTCTTTAGTGAAGAACATGGTTGAAGCAATACTCATGGTTGAGTGATGTGCCCCCATGGAGCACTGGATTTTTGTTGCTGTTTAGTGTAAGTGAGAACAGACATAGATAGATCGTCTTATAAGAAAAGGAACCACAGTGAGAACAGACATAGATAGATCGTCTTATAAGAAAAAGAACCAAACGGAAGGGTGAACGGTTTTAGGCAAAGCCATCCACAGTGTTAGAAAATGTTTAAAGTTTATCTTACTGGGTGCAACATTTGTACTGTTTGCACAAGCTCCCTAGTTGCATGTAGAGAAGATCTTTTGTTTTTCTCTCTTTAGGTAGAAGAATTCTATTTGGTGTATTCCACATGTCTCGGGACAATGGTTAACAGTTTTCCCATTCTCCCTCCATCTCCTCATAGTGGTGCATTTATAACCCATCACAAGCAAATTTTGCCTCTGGGAACTTAAACCCTGAGCAGAGTGACACACAAGGTATTTAAAACTCAGCATTATAATAGTGGTATCTGAACGACTGGACATGGTTTCCTGGCCAAGATTCCCTAGTCTAGTTTGTTTCCTGGGACTACGTGCTTCTTCAGCTTTCCCTTCCGTTCTGCATTCCATTAATTCTTGTTTGCAGATCAACACTATGTGGCTTACAACCAAAATATCATAACTGATACAACATCAGTTTTTTAGATGAAGTTATTTCACTCAGTCAAGTTCCACACAAAGTGGTCAAATCAACTTCTCTCCCATCACTCTCCTTTCTAGACTTTGACCAAATGAGTTATTACTGCTCTTTTAGTAGAATTAAAGAGCATCTCACTTGTACTGAAGAGCTGACTTCTCTTTCATGGAGGGCTTTTTCTTGTAAGAACTTACTGACAATAGAAAACCTTCTAATACTTTTAGAAATCAAAACCAATAAATGTTTGTGGATCAAACTAGAAATCCCAAGAAACTGTGTAATAATCTTACATTATTAAAAATAACTGGAATACAAACCAACAGAAAAAAAGTACTTTATTTATAACACCATTTTGTAAACAATCACACTGTGCAGTTTTTAATTACACAATAACATTTTTCCCTATGGATTTAGAGCAAACCTTATGTAACAAGTCAATGAGTTAATACTAGAGATGAATAGGGTGAAAATTTTCTGAAAGTGTCAAATTACAGCACTTGTTACAAAGACAAATAACTATTTGTACCATAAAAATTTACATGCCACAAAACATTAATTTATAATTTAAAATATACAATAAAACACATTTATAAAAAAGCATCAACGTTTTCATTATAAACCAGTGAATTATTTAGAAGAATATTTATTAAAACTTACTAAAAATCAGAAAATATTGCAACTGAGGTAAAAATTTAAAAGTAAACAAAACTATCATTTATAAGGACCAGAAAGTGAACAGAGGATAGAGGACATTTTCTGAGGGCTGTGTCACTCCTTGATATTTTGAAGCAACTTCAACAAATGTGACTCAATAACCTGTTGAACTAGAACAAGATACTGTTTACAAATTTTAAAAAAACTATCAAATCCTACTGACCCCCACTGTTTCCTTAAAGTTATTTCTAAGTAGAAGACATTTATAATTGGAGAGCAATAATGCAATGAAATACTTAAAAAGTTGAAACCTCAGTTGGTCCCTGACTTGGTAACTAACTGTCCACATTACTGTATTTTCTGCACCTAGGTTTTCATAATTTTTAAACTGAAGAATCCAGGGTATAAGGTTGCTCTATAAATAATTTGCTATACAAATATTAATCTTATAAATAGGTATGTACCAATCTTCCAGTAACTAATGAATCAATGGATTCACTGAAATTCATTGGATCAATGAAAAGCACAGTAAGCAAACTCATTCCTTGACTTTGTAGGAATTTATTTACTTTGCTCACAGTTAAAAGTCTACATTGGGAATCGGGCAATATTTTTGGTTACAAGTGATGAAAGTATTTTGGGCAACTGGCTTAAACTATTCGCAGGGCTTTAATGAAATGAAACCTAAGAGTTCTAAAATACTTACCACTTCTATAGCCCAGGGCTACAGCTAAATCCATAGAATTGTACCCAGAGTCTGTTTCAATTGTTGGGTCGGCTCCATTTTCTATACCAAAATAGAAAAATCCACATAAGTAAATGAAAATGTGGATATGTCTGTCTGTTCCTGGCTCATATGCAGACAGCTAGACATATTTTCAGCCAATTTGGAGGATATTTTCTGGATTTTCAAAAAGCACTCAGAATACATGGAGTGCACAGAATTTGCTTCAGTGAGCTGGAGGAAAGACACATTGAAGTGGCCTCCTCTGGAGTGGCTGAAACTCCATAAGACAAAGCTCATGCAAAATGACACTGTGGACCCAGAAAACTCCAGCAGATTCCAGTGTCACCCCAAGGGAAAGCAGCAAGAACAGAAGCTCCCACTCTAGATGATGTGACGCTGCAGTAGGGCTGTTTCCCACAGGTGCCCAGATGGTAGCAAGTGCTGGCCTCAGGAGCAGGGTCAATATTGTCAACAACAGTTCACAGTGCTCCTGGTACCAGGGCAGGCCAGGTCAAGAAGGTAAAACCCTCATGTGGCATTTAAAAAATAATTTTTTTTCATCTGCTTACCTAAAAGCATCTTGACACATTTCACATGATTCCCATGTACAGCATAAAGCAAAGGTGTCCCTCCATTCTGCAAAAGTCACAGTGATTTAGATTTTCAGTGTGAGTGAGCACTAACTAAATGCTACTGTGGGAAGTTTCCCAAAGAAGTGGGTGTATGTTTTACTAAGTATCGGGCACGCGAAGGTACTTCAAGATTTTAATACTGTGTAAAGAATTCTTAAATAGAATAACTGAATTGATGACATTACCTTGTTTTCCTGGGTAAATATTTTTTTTCTCCCAGGTGCTTAATAAATTATATGGTTTCTCCCAAATCAATACATTCTAGAATTTGTTGCCATGATTTTAAATTCAGTATCAGAGACTCACCCAGTCATATTCATTTACGTCAACTCCACAGTCGAGCAGCATTTTGACAATATCCGTGTAGCCTTTACTACAGGCCAGTGCCAGGGCACTTTCCCGACCTTTTCCTAAAAGCTGGGGGTCAGCACCCTGGTGGGAGAAGTGAAAATGAAAGCCTTTTGATTAATCTGAACAAGAACAGTATTACTCCTACTGATACTAATCACAATTCAATCTACAGTCAGATGAAGTTCGGGGTTCATACGGAAATAATAGAGACTTCTACTCATGGATGCTGTTACTACAAGACTGACCGCCTTCCTTCCTCCCTCTGGCTCTCTCAGTTCTGACCATCCTTTCACTCTGGGGTCGAGTACAGCTCCTTCAAGAAGCCTTCTATAGGGCTGGCAGGATTTTTGCTCGTGTTGTGCTTAGCGGGGTGAATATTCAATTCTCATTGTTTCATCTAGGATTAGCACTGCCTTCCCAACTAGAGCTAAGCTCCATGAGAATATGAAAAGCACTGAAATATTTTGCTGTATTCTGCATCATTATGTCCAGCTGGCTAATGATATAAAACCTTTGTAAGACTTAACTGCATTTAAGTAACTATTCATACACAGTTTCTGAGGCATTTTCCTTACATTCTGAAGTAGAAACTCTACCACAGCTATTTGCCCGTGTGCTGCAGCCCACATCAGAGGAGTAAATCCTTCTTCATCCGTGTGATTGATAACATTTTCTATTTAAAAGAAAAGCAATTTTTGTGATCTAATTTAATAACCACATATTAATACCATAATTTAATAACCATATGTTAATATCACTATGGAATTCCTGGTGTTCTAAAAAAGTTGACTATATTACTCATTGAAGCTCATTTTGTGGTAACTTTTGCTTGCTGAAGTCCTATTATGTGTTGTTGCAATTTGCAGTGGAAATGTATTAAAATGTGCCTCAATACAATATATTCTTTAATGTCTAACCCGCTCATGCTGGGGGAAGGGCAGTTCAGCAGTGTGCCCAGCACACCTGAAGCCGTGGCTGCAGTCCTCAACACCACAGGTAATTAAAGAGAGGAAGGAAAGGAAGGAAGGAAGGAAGGAAGGAAGGAAGGAAGGAAGGAAGAAAGGAAGGAAGGAAAGAAGGAAGGAAGAAAAAAGGAAGGAAAGGAGGGAGGAAGGGAGGAAGGGTAAGTTACCAGGCATGACTTATGCTAAATACAAGGCGGTAAACAGAACATTGTTCTCAGAATCAGGAGACCAGTTTGAGTCCTGGCTCTCTCACTTTATAGCACTGTGACCATGGGAAGGTCACTTATTTCTCAAATATACAGAATGTCTTGCTTACCTCTATATTTAGTTGGGGGATCAAAATAAAAGTGAGATTATATAATGGCCCTTAGCAATATGTAAATTTATATTATGATACGAACTGAAAAATCTTATTAATACCACCTTCTACTCTGTAGCTAACGCCCCTGCCTGTGTGCTTCCCTCATTCATAGTTTTCTAATGTAATATTAAGATAGAATAACTGCAACACAGTACTATAAAATTCTACCTTGAACCTCGTTTAATTACCTACACTAGTTTATAAGCTCCACAACTTTTTCTATGAGTTTATTTAGCAGACTGAGAATTAAATTTCTGGATAATTACATACAAACAGAAAGATAGTGGTTAAGTAAACCTTTCTTATAAAAATAATGTGATTTAAAAGTAAAACTCATTGATCATGACCCACTGGGATCCAGCATTCAATAAACACTGAGGGGACAAAAACTTAACTTTTTTTTTTCCTGTCTTTTTCCTTTTTATTGGTACCGGGTATCGAACACACGACTGACTGCTAGCAAGGCAGGTGCTTATGCCGCTGAGCTAAATCTCCAGCCCCAACTTTTTTTTTTTGAGACAAGGTCTCATTATATAGTCTAGGATGGCTTTGAACTTGCTATGTACCAAGGGTGGTCTTGAACTTGAGATGATCCTCCTGCCTCAGCCTCTCCCATGCTGGGATTATAGGTGTGCACCACCATGCCTGTCAAATACCTAGCTTTTTAAAAAATAAAAATAAAGGCAATATTTTGTTTGATCTTTACCTCATTATACAAAAACATATTCCATATGAGTCAAAGATTGAAATGTAAAAAGGAAGCTAGAAATTCTAGAATAAGATGGGATACATTTATGAGTGGGAAATCCTTGTCAAATAGGACGCACAACTCAGAAGACCCAAAGAAAAAATTAATTTTCCACCTAAAAATGTTAAACTTGTTTAAAAAAATCGTAAGTCAAAAGAAAAATGACAAAATTAGGGAAAACTCCATGTGACATAAACAACACTAAGCTAATTTCCTGAATTTAGATAAGAGTTTGTGTATATAAATATACGGCAGGCAGTTTACATGAAAAGACACTCAAGATGAAAGTATAAGGAAATTACTGTGAGACTGCATTTCTCACCCACAGGTAAGTGAAAGCTAAGTCTGATAATATTCTGTATCAGTGAGGATATGAAGAAATAGAAACTAATTCTGGTGCAAGGACAAGCATGTAGTTATACACACAAAAATAAAAACCCAGGGCTGAGAGTGCAGCTCAGTGGTAGAGTGCTGCCTAGTAATGTTGCCTGGGCCCAATCCTCAGGACCAAAGAAACAAAAAACGATCACAGAGCCTTTGATCTAGCAAATCTACTCGTGCAAATTTATCCAATGGGTTGATCTTAAAAGAATGTCAGTAATATTGTCATTTAATAGCAAAAATTTGGAATATATATGCAATACAATGCAGTTATAAAATTTAAAAAATTATAGTATTATTAAAAGGAAACAGATTTATGAAAAGCTTTCTAACCTATTAATTAGAAAAACTAATACAGTGTGTATAACATTTATCTGTGTATGTAACAAAAAGCACATACACATTCTTATACACAATCCAAAATAAAAATATGTTTTCCAGAAAAACTTTTTTGAAAATGTAAGAAGTAATTCTCGTAGTGAGAATGTTAGGGTGGAAATGGAAGCTATAACTAATATACTTTGTCCTACTTAATTTTTTTCACTCCCCATTGGGTTATCACCCCAGTGATACTATGCAATTATTTTTGTCTTTATACTTTCCTATATTAAAATAAGCCTATTAAATCCCACTGATTTTAAATAGAATACATAAAAGCAGACCATTACCTTGTTCAATGCGAGTAGCCAGGTACAGCATCTCTCCCTGAGCTGCCAGCTGGTGGACAGACAAAGCTGAAACAGTAACAGAAAACGCTGCTGTGCATCTGCCGTGCTCAGCTTCCTGTGGTTCATGTGTATGAGGCAAGTTTCTCTCCCAAAATAAGAACTCAAGTTTTCACTTACAAAGTCTAAATTAAACGATATCCTGACATTACAAGGACTTGTTCTGCACCCAAGAATGACTCTTATGTCTGCTGAAGGTATTATTTGACATCTGCAAACTGTTATTTTCAACAAAATTATTTTATTCCAAGAAATGGCTTAGGCACATAATTTTACAAATGCTATCTCTGTATCCAAACTTAAGAAGAGGACAGGCCTTAAAGATAAGCCATTCTTTTTGTCTTCTGAGTCCACTGAAGTGTTTTTGGCTTGTTTGTTTGAGATAGCATCTCCGCTTGCTGCCCAGGGTAGTCACAAACTCCGGAGCAAGCAGCGCTCCCACCCCAGCCTCCCAGGTAGCAGGAACTATAAGGATGTGCCACTGTGCCTAGCTTTTTAAAACCCTTTTTAAAAACCCTAAGTATTTCCTTTTCAAGAGGCCATGAGTTTTCTTCACATTAAGCGGAGTGTAGGTCATAAATGGAAAATGGGCCTGGAGAATAAATTCTTTTTTTTTGTTTATTTGTTTTTAAGAATAAATTCTTGAGGTGAGGCCTCATTGTGCCTAATCAGCCATGTGATCTTGGATAACTGATTAAATATTTTTGTTTGTAATATGAGGGATGTGAACCAGATGATCTGTAGCTATTCATTTTTTTTTCTGCTGAGAAGCTTTATGATTGGAATATTTTAAGATAATTTATTTTAAAGTAATGCTACAAAGGTACTGTTCTTTGAGAGTTCTTCTAAAAAACCTTAATATTACTTGATAACTGACATTAGTGATATAATTATATGGCTTAATACACAAAGGAAAGTAGCTGGGGATTTAAGTGGGCCAGAAGAGGCCAACAGGTGGAGATGGGTCCTGGAGGGAGGCTCTCCCTGGCTTAGCTGCTACAGCACGCGATTCAGGTCAGGAGGGGTTCAGGGTGTCCCACATAAAAACAAAGGCTTCATAGGGCTCTGGAATATAGGCATATTTACATTATATTTTCAAATACAGTGACTAACAATGAATTACTGTATCTCTCATTTATGTACCTAACCTGTATAGAGTATTTTTAATTTAAATAGAAAAACTATATTTTTCTAAAATGATCACACATTTTAAAAAATTACAGATCCAAAGTTTTATTTTCTTTAAATTTATTTTTATTTATTTATTTTTGTCTTTCTGAGACAGGGTATCATATCATGCAGTTCAGGCTGGCCTTGGGCTCACTTTGTAGTCCAGGCTGGTCTGGAACTTGCAACACAGATCTAAAGTTTTAAAATCAGTAGTTTGTGTTCCAACTATTATATTCCAATACAACATTATAATAGAAATCACTTGGCTTTTCCCTGAAAATCTTTTGATTAGTGATTTTGTTTATAAGTGAAACACAAAGCTTTGCAGTAAGAAACAAAAAATGACATCTTAATTTGTAAAAAGTTCACAATTAATTATTGTTTTTATTTTATTTATTTATTTTTGAGACAGAGTCTCACTGTAGTTCAGGCTGACCTTGAAGTCACTACATAGCCCAGCCTGGCCTTGAACTTGTGGTGCTTCTCTTGCCTCAGCTTCCTGAGTGCTGGGATTACAAGCATGTGCTGCCACACCTGGAAATTAATTACTGTTTTTAAAGTAAAAGTAAAATGCTTTTAATAGTTAATAGTTCAATTCGTGTTTGTTCTAAACAGAGAAGGACAACAAAGTAGTGAAATATGTAATGATATATAAAAAGTTTTAAGTTACTAAAAGTATGAGAACATCATTATTCAAAAGGAGAATATGCGTTTCATGAAAATAATATTTCAAAACCAAACTCCTGAAACTACTCTACTAGTAACATTTTAAAACATTAGTAGCACATACTCACAATTTGCTAACAGAGGTGTGGTAGAGACCTCATTTCCTCTGTGCTTGTTGGTTAGAGTAGTTGACTGTTTTATGGGTGAGAAATGCTTTGTGGTAGAGGGTGTGTAGACGTGTCTTACTTGAATTCCAGGAGAAGGAGAGGTATGGATATTGCATTCAGCTAAGTAAAATAAATTTAAACACATTAAAACAACATTTTAATGACAAAAGTTCTGTCAATGTTGATATTAAAAAAGAAAGATATGTATATAATACCTTTAATGTACAATTGTTTATTAAGTGATAGTAAACTTTTTGGTCATAAAAGTCTATACTAGCAAAGTAAAAGCTCCAGAAAGAAAATTATTAACCTTGAGCAATTTTATTCTAAGAGATTAATTATTCAATAATCATTATAAAAGTAAATCTAAAGTATGTTGATAGACTACTGAATGAAAGCATTTGAAACTAACACAAATGAAATAATCACAGGGAATATCAAGCTAATTCATTTCATAAAGGAACAAGGAATTCTTCCTCCTATGATTTTTAAAAGATACAATAAAAACTTCATTAGAAAATCTGAAAATAAAGACTAGACAAGAAATTTTTTAAAAATTATGTATTTCCTTTAAAATAGACATTATATAAAATTACTTAATTCTGGTTTAAGAGTCTAGAAAATCCTACTAAAAGATGACTTCCAAACTCTTCTTTAATTTCAAATTTCATGATGGAAAAAGAAAAAAACAACAGAAACAAAACCAAACCCAAAAGTGAGCCAAAGCAACAAAAAATCCAAGTAAACAAAAGCAAAGGCAGATATTTATACCATAACTTTAACCTTTAAATAGGACAGAAGCCACCTCCAGGTCAGAATTAACTTGATCTTGAATATTTTTACTATCCTCTTCATTTAAGGATTTCACAAATCGGGAACACACGTTCATATCAAAGCGGTTGGGCAGTATGAATTTCATTCCCATGGCAACTCCCTGAGTCGATCCTTCCTCTGCATTTGGGTCTACTGGATGCTCTAGTTTAATGTCTGGCATGCCAGAGAGACTGTAACTGCTGGGACACTCTTCCATTATCAACTGGGCTGTATCCAGGTTTGATGATGTAGCCATGATTTCAATTATAGTTTCAACAATTAAAACATTTCTTCATGATTTCCTCTTGGAATTATAAGAGCAAGTGAATTTGAGTATTTAAAAATCTGAAAGAAAAATATTAGATAATTATAAGTTTACCAACCTAGGCAAAAGTAAAAATAATCATTTCAATCGCATATCCAAACAGTGCACTTAAAAAACACAATCGAAAGCATACAGTGTATCCACAAGTAGAAAAATCTGTCCATGAATACAAGCTTTGCCATCTATTAGCTGTGTAACCTGTACCAATTACTGAATCTTTCTGAGCCTCAGGCTTATTTGCAAAACAGGGTTACCAATATAAATCTTACAGGATCCTGGTAAAGAATAAGGGAAATAAAGAAACATTACACCTTCATCACTACATTCTAACTGATCATCATTGCCAAAAGATTTGGCTACCAATTAAAAAAAACTTTCATGTTAAAACTTTAACTTTCTACATGAAGTGCAGTTTTAAAAAACATGCTATGTTCATGTAAGTGGTGCTCAGTTTGTTATATCTTTTGTTACAATTTACGTTTATTAGCATTGCTATTTGTAACACTTATGATTCCTAGCTAGAGAAAGGCTCTACAAACTTTAGTCTTGATGACATATTTATCAGTTTTTGTTTAGATTAGGCACTAGCAGCTTACTAAAGGTTTTTGTGAACAATAAACTATGTAAATTATAGATTGGCTCCCCAAAATATCCTTCTCAGATAGATAGTCCCTTGAGACAGGAAGAAAATCAACATGCAGTCAATTTTTCATCTTGGAGTTTACTGCCTCTTAGAAATTTTGAGTTTTAAAGTTAGAATTAAAGGAGTAAAAGGTATTAGCACCCCCTGCAGTGGAGCAGGTGTTAGCAAACTATACATTTATAGATAATCACTGTTTACAATTTAAAAACATATCCAAAGACTGATCCTAATAACAATCCTCTGAGTAGGTAGAGCAAGTAATCTTGTACTTAGGAGAAGAGGAAAAGGAAGCTCGAGATTATGAGGAATTTATTCAGTTCTACTGACTCCATCACTGGTAATTAATAAGCAGCACTCAATTAATGCAAAATTTAAGTGAAGAAATAATACAAACGAAAAGTAATAGGTAACAAAAGTAATACATTTTAGCAAAAGAAAACAAAGAAACCTGAACAGAAAGTGACTTAAATGGAGATAGAAGTATGATGCAAAAGATGCAGTAGATCCTTAAATGAAAATGTACAACGTGAACTGGGTTAGCGGAGGGAAGAACTACCTCCTCCACTCTCCTACCCACAGGTGCGCTAAGAGCCTCTCTCCTGAGCTTTCTCAGCATCCTCCAACTGGCTCTATTTCAACATTTTCCAGTCTCTTGAAAATTTAAACGCTAGGTCAAAGACCCTAGGATACGCTATTGTTACTAATCATTGCATGCAAAACTACCCTTGGCCCTACCAGGTGCTCCATAGGGTTTTGACAGTTTTATACATTCTTTTCTAACATTTACTGATTAAATCTGACTTTCCACTCCAATACCTACTCATTAACTGTGGAACCCTGGACATATAAACACTTTTTATGAGGTTCAGTTACAAAATGAAGGTGTTGAAATAGGCAGCGCTAACACTCTAAACAGCTGTTATAAATCGGGGTTTTCAGACAGAATCACCGGTCTTTGAGAGAAGAATAGTATAAGTGTTTAGGAGAGGAAGATGGTGGCATCGACGCGTTATCTCCGCGCAGCCCGGGGGAGGAGATGCAAAGTTGACTTGGAAGCCAAAAGGTTGAAGACTAGGAGATAAGGGAAAAACAGGTTACTCAGAAGAGGAGGAGAGAAATGAGTTTGTAAAGTCAGGGTAGCTAGGCTCACCGTGGTCTCTGGGTTTGCTCATGAGGTAAGAGAGCAGTCCGACGGGGAGCCAGTGGCAGCTACTAACCGGAGCCCCCTGGTTCTCCCTAACCCTGAAGCTGTCCTACACGGAGAGGACCGCACTGTGGAAATCAACGAGGCCCACAGGTGACAGGTGTCCCGGCGTCGCCACAGGAGCCGGGAAGGAACGCGCTGCCTAGGTGAGCCATGCGGGGGCCTCGGCGGGAGGCGCCCGGTGGCCGCTTGTGGCCACAGAGAGCGGCTGGCCTTTCCCTGGGCAGTCACGGGCCCCAGATTCGGTACAGACCTCAAACTCGGGCTTGTTTGGGCCGCAACGTCACTTCCGATTTCTTCTTTCGCCTTCAGGCAAAAAAAAGGTTCCACATCCTAGCAGCCGAGAGGATTTCCAGGATGTCTTGTCTGTTTGTTGGTTTTTAAGCTGCTTTTACGCTCTGCAGTCCACCTGCTTGAGCGCTACAGAGACAGAGTCACCTCAGGTGACAGCTCTGGGTCACTGGAGCAACACTCCAGCCTTTTCCGGTGGCTACTCCTCCTCCCGGTGGCCCCGCCCACTCGGCCCGCCCCTTTGCCTTCCGGGTTGCGTGCGTCTCGTGGGCTTGCGTGTTACGTAATCGTCGGCATGTGCTGATACGTCATCTCCGCGCGCCGTTCTCTCAGTGTGTGCTGGGCTCCTGGAAGTTCCGCGTGATTTTGCGCAGGTGATTCAGAGCGGCATGGTGTAGTGGTCTGCCGAAGTGCAAGAAGTTGTCCTTGGAACCAGTGTACGTCGGCGGACCCCCGGGCCGCCGCGGAGGTACGTGAGGCAGCTACTGTGGAAGGCAGTCCGACTTTCTTCTGGCCTCCGTGTGGTTGGTGGCATGGTCGAGCTCCGCTGGAGATGCCTACACTTCGTTACTCGCCTCTCAGGGTCCCACCCGTTTATTTTCGATCCAAGTTTTCCTCTGCAGTGACACACTCTTTCCACTGCTATCAGCGCCCGGAGGAATCCGCACTCCTTCTAAGGCAGTGGACACAATTCCATCGATACCTTCGTTTCCAAGGTTCTCAGTTTCAAATGATCCTGTATTTTCTCCTTTCCCAATCCCCGCCTTGTCGCCCTTCACAAAAGAGGAAGCTGGTGTAATGTTAAACTCCATGGCCCAGAAGTGGCATGCTCTTCCCAGGTGGAATTAAGAATTTTCATTTCTGAGCTCTTAGTGTTCTGTACATTACGGATGGTATTTTGTATAGCTATCGTACCTATTCAGTCACTTAAAACCACAGCTAGATTGTTTCCCTCCTCTTCATTTTTAACTTCGTTTCTTGCCCCATGTTTTTAGTACTGTGTCCTGCCTCCTTTTCCTTCCTTCCACAAGGATGCGTTTGATTGAGAACTTTGAAAAAAAAAAAAAAAAGTCCCAGCTATAAATTGTTCAGTTTAGCAGGCAGAAGAAATATTCACAATGCAATGTGATTATGTATTTCGACAGAAATATTCAGAGTAAATAGGATCTTAGAAGACGGGAGCGAGCCTTTGAGGGCAGTGGTTTCTTGTAGGACAGTCTGATTCATGAATTGAGCCTTTAAATATTAAATAGGAAGCAGATGAAGAGAAGGCAGTCCTGGTGAAGAACACAAAGTACGGAGGCTTTGAGGCAGAATGAGAATAATATGTTACCCATAAACTTGATAATAAGAGATGGAGCTGGAATAGCAAGCGGATCAGAGCCGACCTTGTGTGACCCATGTGTGGAGCTGGGAACTTGGTTTTCTGGCAGTGTTGGGTTTGGAGCACGGGCCCATGGTGACCATTTGGCAGGTAAATGAGGGAGTTCAGGAGATGGTTACAGTGTTGATGAAAGACCTGAATTAGAGTGGTGGAGCTGGGTGAAGTCGATTTGGTGACGTTAACAAAGATTTGGGAGTAAAAGTTGGCAGATCTTGTGAACTATCCTGCTGTTAGAAGTGAGAAGGAAGGACAAGTCAAGGCTGAGTCTAGATTCCTAGCCAGAGCCAAAGTGGAGAAGAGGAGTATGTGAGAGTGTGTAGAACAGTGTAGAAGGTGCTTGAACAAATGAAAGACATCTCCCCTTTTAGTCACTGATTGTTGTATTTTTGTCAAAGTAGCCATTGAAATATATCACACCTGCAGGGCATGGTAGGTCATTGCTTGTAATCTCAACACTTGGGAGGCTAAAAAGCAAGAGGATCACAAGTTAAAGGCCAGCTTAGCTTCACAGTGAAATATCCTTTTCCTCCCCAAAAGAAAAAAAAAGTCACATGTTGCTGATGTCATGTTTTTAGGCTTTTCAGAGTAGATGAACAGTAACACCACTAAAATCATTCATCTGGTAAAATTGAATCTCTTGCAGTTGAGTAATTCTGGAAAGGTGTTTTGGCTTAATGGCATATTAAAAGTTTTGTTTGTTTTTATAGTTATTTTGTTTTTATTCTATTCTGTCATTTAAATTTGGAATTGCTTTATCCTGACTTTCTTTGCTGCTGTTTAAACCTTTTATAATTGTCAGAACATTATTTTCCAATTTTACTTTAAGGTTTTAAACTTGAGATGTACACTAGAATTATTTTCTATTTGTTCTTGGCATTTTTAGACTTTTGGGAAGTCAAATACATATTTTCTTATATCTGTTTTTAAGTTTGTTTGTTTTTGAGACAGGATCTCACTGTGTAGTCCAGGCTGGCCTTGAATTCATTCAACCTCCCAAGTGCTAGGATTACAGGTGTGTGTGCCACCATGCCTGGAGTGTTTAGTTTTTATCATAATGGTTCCTGTTGTCAAAAAATTAGCACTATAAACCAGTGTTTTTTTCTCGGGTTTGACTGCTAGAAGTGTGAGCCAGATTTATTCCCAAGTGTCCAACCTGGTCAGGTAGGTGTGAGAACACTTGTATACTGCCTGTAGGTACAGCTGAGTAGATCACACATCATGCTAGCCCTTGCTGTTTTGTTTAGATTGTCTGTTTAAAAGATTTATTGACCACTAGTCTTCAAATTTCCACATACACTTCAGGAAGAAAGCAGAGAAAAAAATCATACCTTTGTGTACAAATTTATGAATGATATATCTTTAGAAGTGTTTTCTTTTCCAGATTTATTTTTTAATATTCCCTACAAATTATTGACTCTTGGGCAACAGTGCAACTATATGAAATCATGGCTGGTTATAAGCCTGCAGCTATTCAGACATATCCTATTCTTGGCGAAAAAATCACCCAAGATACTCTGTATTGGAACAACTATAAGGTAAGTATGAGAGACAAGGATGGAGGAAAGTATATATGCATTTATTTATCTATGCATTTCTCCAGTGTTTGTTATACTTTGGATATACTTACTGAAATACTAACTAAAGCAAAGCGTGGTGGCACGTGCCTATAATCCCAGCACTTGGAGGCTAAGGCAGAAGGATGTCCATCAGCCTAAACTGTGAGATCCTGTCTCAAAAAAAACAAACAAAGAAATACTAATTAAAAACTGAACAGTTTATAGTTAAGGCAGATAGCTTTGTTTTCTTGGAACTTTAGGAGGTTTTTTTTGAGATAGCATTTCACCACGTAGTGCAGGCTGGCTGACCTCACTTATGCCTCAAACTTGTAACAGTCCTACCTCAGCCTCCCTAGTACTGAGATGACAGGTGTGCACCACCATGCCCAGCTTTCTTGGAATTTTGCATAAAAGTCTGTGCTGCTTAATCATTTTAGCCATATAAATATTTAGCACAGAACACATGACTAATCAGTGTCAAATGATTTAAATTTAAAAATTCTAATCTTATATGTAAGAAGATACTTTCTTGTTTTTCTTAGGGTAAAAGTGCTATGAAATTAGTTTTGTTTGTACCATCTTATTGTAAGACTTATAGGTGATTTTTATAAAAAACTGAAAAATTAAGCCAGTCATGGTGATAATTCCTATAATTCCAACACTCTGGGAAGCTGAGGCAGGAAGATTACAAATTCAAGCTCAGCTTGGGCAACTTAGTGACTTGGCATAACCCTGTCCCAAAAAATTTTTACAAAAGGACTAGGGCTGTCATTTATAAGGTATGAACTCCTGGAGTTTCAATCCCCAGTACCACAAAAGCACAAAAAGGCTACGTAGAAAACTACAAAAAGCATGAGATTAGGAAGTCTATGGAAAAAGAAATATAAATATACAATAAATATAACAGACTCAGTTTCACTCAAATTAAAAAAACAGAAGTTACAATTTTTAAAAGTGCAAGTGAAAGCAGTAAGGCAGGTACTGTTTTCATTTATTGGCACAAATGAAAAAAATTGATTGTCACTGCCAGTTGGTGTAGGAAGATTGGTGCATATTTTTTTGGAGGGCTCTTTGACATCGATTATGACTTTTAAAATGCTTTTTGGCTATGTGGTCTCACAGCTTGAAATGTACTCACTGACTTTACTCCCAAAAACTTGCTAAAATATTATATAAAAATTTTATTGTAGTACAAGAATTCTCAAAAAAGTTGTGTCCATTCATTATTAGTGGGCTAGTTTAGTAAATTGTGTTGCCTTTCTCAAAGGTGTTAAATCCATTGCTAATGTGAAAAGTCAGCTAAGAGGGGTTATTTAATGAAAAATGAGAGAACTGCCTGCATGGTATGACTGTCTCTGTGTTTATTTTTAATACATAATTAAATGTGTACTTATGTGGGTGTAACTTTGATGGGAGTACTGCAATAAACTCACAGTTGAAGATGGGACATAATGTACAGCTTTTTGGGCCACATGTTAAGTTTAATGGCTGCAGGAATAGTGTAGAGAATGGGATAGAGACCTTTTTTGCTTCTTCTGTATCTCTGTGCATGCAAACTAATAAATGTTACTAAGAACAAAAGGAAATGACCTGTAAGAAATTCTATCATGTTTAAATAGGCTTCTCAGTTGTAACTCTTAATGTTCTGTGTTCTTTTCCATTAAGACCCCTGTTCAGATTAAAGAATTTGGTGCAGTGTCAAAAATAGACTTTTCCCCTCAGCCTCCATATAACTATGCAGTCACAGCTTCTTCACGAGTAAGTACAATGATAAGTTTTTGAAATTTTTATGTATGCAATTTACTATTGATCTTGAGCGATCTGACAAAATACTATTTTTATCTTACAGATTCACATTTATGGCAGATATTCCCAAGAACCTATCAAAACCTTTTCCCGGTTTAAAGACACAGCGTACTGTGCTACTTTTCGACAGGATGGCAGATTGCTTGTGGCTGGTAGTGAAGATGGTGCAGTTCAGCTCTTTGATATAAGTGGGAGGGCTCCCCTCAGGCAATTTGAAGGTCACACAAAGTAAGAGAGAGTTGTTTTTCTTGTGATTTTGTTTTGTTGAAGGCTCTGTCTCTGGTCTTTGAGTAAAATCTTGGCGGTTTTGTGAATATTACGCATCAGTTTGTATTTTATTTCTTACTAAGACAAGAGAATTTAACTTCGGCTCCTGGGGCTCATGAATTCTCTAGAATATGTGTTATATTTTAGGAAATGTGTGCTTAGCTGGAGATGTGTTCCATAGCATTCATTCCCTTCTCAGTGGGGTGTGGGCCTGGTGAGTTTGTGAATCACCGCTGTACAGGTTGCCTCCCTCTGCTGAGGGTACGCAGGCTGGGACAGTCTTGGAGGTTTTCGTCTTGGATTGTGGTGTTTTGCCCCTTGATAAATTGAATCACTGTCACAATTTTGTGCTATAACTGTCTCAAGATTACCAGCATCCTTACTGAAATCTCTTGACTTAAAAATCTCAAAAGTATATTTTTTATCCTATCCTATCAAGATGTTCTTACTCCATGAAATACTTAATGTAATAAAATTTACCCATCATGCCCTTACTTGCTGACAAGTCTATTTAGAATTTTTAAAAGAACTTCTTGGAATTAAAATACCTTTACTCCTACATCTAGAGCATTCATTTTCATCGAGAGTCTAAAGTTATTAACATAGTAGAACATACAATTTAAAGCTATGCTTAGTATTTGTACTAACTTAATAGTATAGTGGTATTACACTTTTAAATTAATTTAGGAGCAAGTACCTGCTTTAAAGCTTTCCTTTTCCTTCTGTAAATATTCTCTGAAACTGAGCAATTTTTTACAAATCTAGGCAAAAAGTGTGTTATGTTAGAAGATACAAGAAATGTTTCTTTTTTCTTGCTTTTTAATATACTGCCACTTGATTTTTCAGAGCAGTTCATACAGTAGATTTTACAGCTGATAAATACCATGTGGTCTCTGGGGCTGATGATTATACCGTTAAATTATGGGATATACCAAACTCCAAAGAAATTCTGACATTCAAAGAACATTCTGATTATGTGAGGTGTGGATGTGCTAGCAAACTTAACCCAGATCTCTTTGTAACAGGTTGGTGAATTCTTTTCATTTAATTGCTATGGGATTCTTTAGGGGTTGGGAGGTTTGTTTATTTGCTTTTTTCTAAAAGAACTGGGGTCATAGCTCAGATAAACAAGTGAGAATAGGTTTGTATTAGTGATGCTGTTGCTTTTTTTTCCTTTTGATGGTTGCTTTAACTGTCCTGCGAATGTATTTGGGAATACCACGCTGTCTAGACAACATAGCAGTCTTTCAGAACAGCAGTGAGTTTAGTATGCTGGTTTTCAGAAAGCCTATAGCAGCTTGGGCACTCTGCTGTCTGTAAGTTTTTCTGGATGCCTATATAAAGGTTCCCCGATGACCGTACATTTAGAAACTGTCAGTAAGGCTGGGGACGTAACTTAGTGGTAGAACCCTTGCCTAATATATGTGCCAAGCCCTTAGTATAATCCCCAGAAAAGCAAAAACAAAACAAAAAAATTCTTAGTAGGAAAAGATTAAACTCCGTCTCCAAAATTTTTATTTTTTACAAAATTTATGTTTGGATATGTACATACTTATAGTTTTTGTTGTTTTAAATAGCCAGATTCATATATTATAATACAAAAATTTATGTTTTAGGGTCATATGATCATACTGTGAAGATGTTCGATGCGCGAACATGTAAGAGTGTTCTCTCTGTTGAGCATGGGCAGCCGGTGGAGAGTGTTCTGCTTTTCCCCTCTGGAGGTCTCCTGGTGTCTGCAGGTATTTCTTAGGAAAATAGCTCTTACCAATATTGTTGGTCTATTATGATTCATCAGTATGCATTTGGATTACATATCTAAATTGTGCTAACAGTTGATAGTGGGACAGGCAAAAGGTTGTCATTTATTGAGTATATCAAGTACTTAACCTGAGTTGGGGAGGGTTTTGAAACAAGACCTCTCTGTACTCCAAGCTCTACTGCAACTTGCTGGGTAGCCCATGTTGGTCTTGAGTTTGTGAACTCCTTTCTTCGGCCGCCTAGTGCTGGGATTACAGGCCTGTACCACCATACTCAGTATAGCATCATGCCACTGCTTACAGATTATCTCTAATGTCTGAGGCAATTAATTTTCTTTGTATTTTACAACTAAGAAAATAAATGAAAATTTCCGTTTGTTCCAAGCATATCGATAAGTGTCAAATCTGAAATCTCAGTACTTGAGGTCTTACATGATATATTTAACCCTGTACAATTTGGCCCTGTATTGTGTACTCTTATTCCTAAAGTGGTGAACCTATTAGAGCTTTCAATGAGTCAAATAGTCTGCTGCCGCACATGTGCCTTAGGTTCTCCTCTGCTGTCCTAAGAAATCCCCAGCTGCCTGTGCAGCAGGTTATTACAGATCTAGAATCACACTTACCTCTTTCTTTGTGACTCTTTTTTTTTTTTTTTTTTTGTCTTTTTCCTTTTTATCGGTACCGGGAATCGAACTCACGACTGCCTGCTTTCAAGGCAGGCGCTTATGCCACTGAGCTAAACCCCCAGCCCCCTCTTTGTGACTCTTGAGTATATGTTCTTACCTGCTAAAAGCTGATAGTATTATAGAAGGAGATAATGGGGAAGGATGCCAAAAAAGGGCTTGATAACTTTTTCATCCAGTTGGAACAAGGGTTTATTTGGTTAATTTTGACACAGTACATTTTCATAATTATAGAATAATAAATTATTTGGTTTTTCTCATTTTTCAGTAAAAATGTGTTGGCATTAGAAGAATGTGTAGTTACTGTATACGGTTGGTAACATATACATAATAGTAGGTGTAGTCTTCCTGACTTGTCCTGTTTTATACTCTTTGCCCAACACCTGTTTAAGTAGATGTCATTGTCAGGTTTATTTGTTTCATGAGCTGTTATTTTGAGAAATGGAAATAAAGCCAAGTTGAACAAAGAGAACAGAAACCTGTACATTAATCTCTACTGTGCCACTATTAAGTTGTGCAGCTTAGGTCAGTGTTTCTAGGCCTTGAAAATGAGTATCAGTGGCGTCACACTGTCCTCCCTGACTTAGGCTGCCATCGGGGAGTGGGAAGGTGGCAGTCATGACTTGTTATTTTTCTTCCCTCTTTCCTGTCAGGGTGCAGTGCATGGGAGCCTTACTTTCCCCCCACCTTACCCCTTTTTCCATTTTTCTCTAACTGAACTCTTCTGCTTGATATTTTGTTGAATGAAGATGCTGAATTTAAAAACTTCTTTTTAAATTATTGGATTATGTTACCATTAAGGAAGGATGTTTCTAATTCTTGGAGTAAAACTATAGGAAAGTTTATCAGTTTTGTTGGGATTCACAAAATATTTAGGAAACCAGATCTATACTATTCATTTCCATGTTTCTTCAGAATTTCTTTTAAGCAGTGATTTTAATAGAACTTATTTGAAATGTTTTATTTTTGCTAGAGTTCTTTGCACTTAAAATAAATTATTTAATCATCTGAACAGTTCTATGAAGTATGCACTGTTAATATACTATCAGTTACACACCCAGTAAATGGTAGAGCCAAGATTCAAACCGTCAGTCTGGCTGTGGAATCCCTCACTTTATCTTCAGTCTGTGAAATGTCAGTGAAGAATACTTTGTAGGTCTTTAAAATTATGAATATATGGTTGGACTATCAAACTAATGCTGTTTCTTTTTGTAGGAGGTCGTTATGTTAAAGTCTGGGATATGTTAAAAGGAGGACAATTGCTTGTGTCTTTGAAAAATCACCACAAAACTGTGACATGTTTATGTCTGAGCAGCTCTGGACAGAGGTTACTTTCTGGCTCACTGGATAGGTTAGCATTTAAATTCTTTTCTTTATTCATCGTCAGTGTGCAGTTGTTTTTTTTTTTTTTTTTTTTTTTTTTGGTACCAGGAATTGAACTCAGAACCTTGCACTTACCAGGCAGGCGCCATGCCACTGATCTATGTCCCTGGTAGGTACTTGGTCTTTTTAGGTGTTTCTTTTAAAAATGAAGTATAGATGGGCTGTCCTTATAGTCATTTTCAGCCTGGAGTGATTTTTGTCCCCAGGGAACCTTCAGAACATCTGCAGACATTTTGGTTGTGGGACTGACATTCTTGTATTGGGATAGAGGCCAGGGAAGCTGCTAAATATGCTGCAGTGCACAGAAAAGCCCTGCATGACGTAGCGTTCTCTGGACCAAAGGACCGCGATGCTGCGCTTGAGACCTTGCTCTCTTGACTTGCAGTGCACATTCACTGATGCTCCTCTTCCTCCCAGGTTTTATCTTCAGATGATGGTGGTCCCTGGTCTGCCCTTTTGTTTCTTTATAAGCTAAAATCTAGTCAGTACTGTGATACAGTTTTTAAGGAGTCAATGATGAGATACTTTGTGATGTTACATTATTATTTTTCTTCACTTTTGTGTTAAAAAATAGAATCTGCAAGTGATTTTTGACAGCATTTTCTTTTTTATTAGGAAAGTGAAAGTATATAGCACAACTTCCTACAAAGTGGTCCACAGTTTTGATTATGCAGCTTCAATTTTGAGTCTTGCACTTGCAGTAAGTACTTTTAGTTCTTTTTAAAGTTATCACTAACCTTGTCTGTTAAGTGAAAGTAAAATGGAATTTTAGGATTTATCTTGGGATTTAAATTAGCTGTTTCAGTTAAGACAGTTGTTGGAGTGTGACTTGCAGTAACAACTCATTTAACTCAGTGGGTTATAATACTTAAGAGAGGCAGGATGACTGCACATGTGCACGTGTGCGCACACTCAGATGGAACGAGGATGGAATAACAAAATGAAATAGCTCCCTTGATGACTGTTGTTTGTAGAGTTGGTTCTACCATGTTTCACAGGGAGCCACATTAATGCAGGTGGATATTTGAATATGTTATATAAAAATCTGAATTGTAAGAGGGAAAACTAATCAAAAAATATTTGGGAGGAGGATAGGATTTTAGAATGTCATATCAGTGTTTAGTCCTTTTTAAATAAGAGGATGGAGAAAAATTACTCTGAAACATTCTCAAGATGCCATTAACTGTGTATCATTACACAGATTTTGCCAGTGGTATAATAACTTCTGCCAACATAATGGTATCCTAGAGAAAAAAATGACTTTGCTGTAGCATTTTTCATAGATTATTGTTAAGTAGAATAATTTGAATGGAACCGTTGGTGATTGTATGGATATAGCATGTCATTTTGAAGCGAATATACTGTAAGCTGTTGGTTAGGAATAGACTTATTTTTCTAATTGTTAGCATGAAGATGAGACGATAGTGGTTGGAATGACCAATGGAATCCTGAGTGTTAAACATCGGAAATCTGAAGCAAAGAAGGAGTCTCTTCCAAGGAGAAGGAGGCCTGCATACCGAACCTTTATTAAAGGAAAAAATTACATAAAGCAACGGGTTTGTATTGCTCCTGTTTTTTTTTAAAAAGATGACATTTATTTTCTCTTTTTGATACATCGAAATTGAGTCTGGGTTGCTAGAGCAAGGCCATTATTAAAGAATAATGCAGAACAAGGACTACTTTATTTATTACTCTCAATTCCAACATAACAGCACAGTGCTTTACCACATTCAAAACAGTCTTTCACATATTATCTAACCAGCTAGGCCAGTAAAGTCTCCATGGCATTCGAGAAGATTGAGATACAGAGAAATTTTGATTTAAGATTTCATTCAGGATGGCCCCTGATATTAAGACTAGCTTTCTGTTTCTGATTCTTGTTTTATATCTCTTCATACTAACTCACACTGTGTGCAGTGTAAAAAGAGCTGAAATATGTTTTGCTAAACTTTGAGGCAATTGTAAGTTAAAAATCATGAGAGAGTAAAAGAATATTAATGTGCAAGTTACTCCATTTTCAATTAGTCTAGATTATGAGCATGTAAACATTATCGTGATGCAGTGCAGAGGCACCCTGAGTTTTAAAGTATCACTTCATTATGGGAAAGTTTTTTTGAATGGAACTTCATAGACACTGATTTTCCTCCTCTATGAATTTACTTCTCAATACAGGATGACATTTTGATCAACAAGCCAACAAAGAAATACCTAGAATTGTATGACAGGGATCTGAAAAATTTTAGGATCTCTAAGGCACTTGATAGAGTCCTTGAGGTGAGTAAAAAGCATTTTTGAAAGAATTGCATTAATACTTAATTTACACATTATGGTGATGTGAAACTGGTGATTTCATGAGAGACAATGATACTTTTCTTATGCTGTTTTCTGCTTATATTGACTTTGAAAATTTTTCTAGCCTAGTTGTATAATAAAGACTCCTGAAGTCACAGTTTCCATCATAAAAGAGCTGAATCGAAGAGGGGTCTTGGCAAATGCACTTGCAGGACGGGATGAGAAAGAAATTAGTCGTGTTCTTAATTTTTTGATAAGGTATGTTTTATGTTTGTGAAATCTGTATTTTGCATTTCAAGTCCTTCTTTATCACATATTTGGTTTAATCTTTGTTGAGAACTGGTAGGAAAATGAATTTGCAAATTTCATTGAATAAATTTTTTTTTTTTTAGGAATCTGTCTCAGCCAAGATTTGCACCTGTGTTGATCAATGCTGCTGAAATAATTATCGGTAAGTAATTGTTAAAACTTGAAAAAGCTAACATGCTTGCAAAAGTAGAAAGGTGTCAGGATGAGGGGTGTGGCTCAGCGGTGGAACTTTTGCCTAGCGTCTGTGGACGTGTGGGTTCAGTTCTCAATGCATATGAGAAGTAGAGGTGTCAAATAATAAAATCAAATTAGAAGTTAAGTATCTTTTTTTCTAGTCAGTGCTGCAATGAAGACTTTCATGAAGAAAGCAATAGATTATTGCAGTTTAAAATGAAGTGACTTGATTACAGTGGCCTACCTTAATCAATTAGCACTGGCATCATAAAATTAAAGTTTCCCATTAGTATCTTAATAACAGAATAGTTTTTAATTGGAAAATGAAAATAAGATCCTCTACCCTTTTGTCTCTGTAATTTACTTTTTGAAATGCATTTATTTAGAAGAATTGTTATGTTTTCTATTAATCATTAAATAAACATAGATTTTTAATGTCTTCAACATTTTTATAGTTTTTCTGACAGTTTTTCATTCATTACATAGATTTCTGGCTATCATATTTTCTGTTTTTTTTAGATATATATCTGCCTGTGATTGGTCAGTCACCTGTAGTGGATAAAAAGTTTTTAGTACTTCAAGGACTTGTAGAAAAAGAGATTGATTACCAAAGAGAACTCCTGGAAACCTTGGGGATGATGGACATGCTTTTTGCTACCATGACAAGGAAAGAAAGCACTTCTGTGTTGGAACATAGACCTGCTGAATTTCTAGAGAAGATGATGGAATCATAATACCTGCTCAATAAGATGAAAAAAAAACCCCTAGTTTAGAATAAACTTGACTATTATTGAAAGGAAACTCTTGGATCCATTTTAAAAAGATTGTCACAGAAGCAATTTTATAGAAGAGACTGGGCTAGCTCTGATTGGAAGATAACTACTTGTTTTAGGACATGGCTTTCCATGCAGTTGAATTATTGTGTGCCATTTCAGGTGGAAGATGTCAGTTACCTTGGTTCCAGTGTCTGCCCACCTTAGATGAGCTGATGTTGATTTTAGTCCAGCACAGCTCTGTCAGCAGCCAGGTGTGCATTCAGTTGGGGGTGCAGGTGTGGAGCCTCTGGAGAGGGTTCCAACTGGGCGTCCTGCCAAAGCAAACCCTGTTTGGGGTGTCACTTCATTATTTCTAGCATAAAAAACAGCAAAAACATGACAAGAAGAAGACTTTTTCAGTCAGTGCTCTTGGGATTTCTATGCTTCTGCTTTACTGGTCACCCTTCCTTGGTGGAGTTGCTGATTTGACTGTGGGCTCTGCTTCAGCTAGTGTGGGGTCGTGTTCCAGGTGTGTGCTCATCAGCTGCTCAGCTCCGAGTCGTGGTGATGGACGAGTGTTTGGAGTATAAGGCAGATTGGATGCCTGTGAGTTGTGCTCTCACTCCAGGTTTCCTTTCCCTTTTTTTAATCTTGACTGTCTCTGTATCAGCACATGGGTTGCAGATAGACCTTATTGGGCCACTATTTTCTCCTGGTTTGCAGAATGCAGCCTTTTTACCTAGTTGTCCCAGTCCTTCAGGCCAGGGACTGATAAGATTTGTCGTTTCTCCTCTAATGTGTACCTTTTCAGCCTATTGCACGTATGTTTGGAGCGCATAGCCATCTAACCATCTGAGAAACTGTTTTCTCTGAGCCATATGTAGGTTTTTTTCCGTCTGTTCTTCACAATTGTCTTGTTCAAAACCCCAAACAAGAGCAGCTTGCTGTGAAACAAAGTTGTTTTTTTTAGAAAGTTTAATGTGAGTTATATTTTTTTATAAAGGTTCTTATTTTTACCTTGGCTTTCTGAGACGTGTCCATTTCTGATGGATTGTCGCTGGCTGCCAACTCCTAGCACCCTGATTCCACAGTTGCTTTTCCCCTCCCCCACCTCATCTCATCTCAGCGGTGTGCGCAGCACTGCAACCGTGCATCTGATAATAACATGTCCAGGAGAGTCTTAGAGGGAGAAGTTTATAATGGAAGTCTCCTCACCTAGTTTCAGTTCTATAAATTCAGAGTTTCTTGAGGCAGAAGGCAGTGAGATACATGTTCTGGTAAGGACGTGTGTCACAGATGGGGGAGTTTCCCTCTATGCGTTGTTAAGGTAATCACGCAGTGCAGCAGCTTGTGAGAAATGAGGAGTTGCTTCCCTCAGTAATGAAATTAGTCAGGTCAGAAGCTGTGTTTTGGGGTTGAGAAGAGTTAATTGATTTAAAAATTTTTTATTTAAGAACTTTTTTAAAGGAATTAACTTTGTTAAATATGCTTATAATTTGTATACTAGTAAAAATGAGAAGTGAAATTTTAGTTAAAACTGTGCCTGCTATCAGTTGTGTAATGTCCAAGCGTCTCCTGTATTACAGTGGTCCCTTGAGTTATGACCGGCCTGAACTCTGGACAGTTATGACAGGAATTTTATGACCAGTCTTGAGTCATGACCTGAATGCCGGCCACCTGTGCTTCCAGATGGTCTCAGATACAGAGTTAATCTTTAGAGAGTTCTGGAAGGAACAAGACAACATCCTTTCCTGTGTGGGGTTCATTGAGAAATCCTGGGTCAGTGTCTGTAAGGACGGAGACGTTGAAGGCTGCGCAGAGGAGCCTGAGCCTCAACTGACAACCTGAGTTACAGCCACCCTCGGAATGCATTGAGTTCCTAAGTCACGGGTCCACTGTGTGTCACTTGACTCTCACAGACGTCTAAGTTTGGTATAATTCTTACTTAACATTGAAGTAATTAAAGCAGGTGACTCCCCCCTGGAACCTCCTAGCTGGAGTTCTTTTTCCAGCATTAATCTTGCCTCCTGGTGCCTAAACTACTCATTTCTTTTAACAAAACCTCATCAGGGTCTGCAGTTCTTAAATGAAATGGGTAGTGATTACAATTTTTTTTTTTAAAGATTAGGAGACAGTTCCTATAGACAGCATCTTTTTAAATTCTTATTCCTTAAGACTGATATTTGAAGTATCTTAATAGAATTGACATAGCACATGTGACACTGACCTTAAGATTCTAATTTGAAATTCCTAATAGAATTTTAGACTTGTGATTTTCAGCTAGAAAGTATTTTAAAATGTTACTGAATGCAGAAAATGTTTTGGAGAACCTAAAAGTCTATACTTTTTAATTTATTATGTTAAGAGTTAAGCACCTGGGAAGGTTTTTTTTATTGTGTCAAGCATTGAAAGTGCTGTTGAATCAGATTTTGTTACTGTAAATGCTATTAAATTTAAAGGAATTTGAATTGTAAGTGAGACCAGTAGAAGAAATTTAGTTTGGTCAACATTTACATTGAGTTTCACCAAACATTAATTAAAGGATCCCTTGGAAGTGATTATTAAAATGTAGTTTTTTTTCTAAATGAAATATTTCTAAGTTATACTTAAAAACTTAAGGTAAGTTTTAAAATGTCTGACTTTAACAATGAGTTATATCTTATCTGTGAACCAGATACCTCTTGAACACTGGAAGATATTCTTAGTAGATGGATGGCTGTACGCCTGTTCCCTGGGCCATAGTTAACTAAACCAGACCAGGCGTGATATGCATGACTCAGGTTTTCTCTAAACAGAGGTTTGTAATTGGGATTTATAGTGGAATTGTTTATCAGGGAAAATGAGGGAGAGGATGAAAGCTACATGCAAAGAAAATCAACACAAAGATCATCCTGCCTCAGCAGATTAGACTAAAGGAGACTGAAAGCATTTTAATTACAATGACTGTTTCCCTAATTCTGCCTGTACTCTACCCTTCAGGGGTCCATGAAATTCTTTAGAATCCTTTAATAAATTGTTTTTGCTTAAATGACTGTGAGTGAGTTTTTCTTAAAACCAAATGGCTGAAACACTTAGTCATGGTATTCACTTAGAAGCACATTTGAATCTGGAGAATCGAGTTTAGATCAATGAGCATAATAGACAAGAATCCCGGCTTCCTTGGAACTAATACTCTTAATAGCTAATAAGGAAGATGTTTGGTAAACAAAGTGTGTAATGGGTCAGATGGTGCTAAATGATTTGAATCAAGTGGTGGGAGGGGTGAGGGGAGGGAAACATTAAGGGTGGTAGGTGGGTTGAAGTCTTAAAAGAGTAAGTCGGGAAGGAGGTTAAGCAAAGTACTTAAGCCAAGACTTGTTGGGCTGAGTACAGATGCGTGCTGGAGAGATGGCCAGTATATCCATCCTGGAGTGGGGAATGAGAGAAGTGACGTACAAAGAAGAGTCAGAAGGAGGAAGAACCTGGAAACATCCTAAATAGACACTGGGGAGGCTGCTCTGTAAAACGGAGCAGAAAACTTGGATAACCAGTAGAGGGATTTGAGTTGGGTTTAGTTGGTGAGGTATAACTGGAATGCTGTAAAACACTGAAAAGTGTCTCGTTTGCTGTTTTGATGTATACACCGTGCAGTATATCTGATACTTGTTGAAGGCCTCCTGCTCCTTGGCAATCCTTCCACTCTGTCCTCCCCCTCAGGCAATTATTCTGGAATACATTCAAATAGACCAGAAGATAGGTTTTGTAAGAGACTGGCTGCTTAGCATACTTACTTTTAAGATTCATATTTCATTTGAGATTGAATTTGGGAATGACAGACTGTGCTACTAGTGATAATCCTGCAGAGGGAAAAACTGATGACACAAGCCAGTGAGGTCAATTCCTGGAGTATGATCCTTGGCAGAGAGCTGGGACCGAGGGCCTGAGTGTTAGGAGAGTGAGTAGTTGGGCATGATTCAGGAGGGAAAGCAGAAAGTGCAGGCACAAAGGCAGTTATTTTGGCCTTTTGGAAGTTTTTAAGTTTATTAGAAAAATGGAAAAAAAGATAACCAGTTAAAATAAGGATGAAAGAAGAGGTGGAGGTTTGGAAATACGAGGAATGGGCAGAAGATGGGAAACATTCATAGGGCTTTGGAACCATTTGCCTGGATTTGAATCACATCTTGACTACTAGCTATGTGATTTGAGGAAAGTTACTTGGCCATTTCATATCTGATTTAGGGGACTGTGAGAACTGGGTTAGTATCTGTAAAGGTACCTAGAATATTCCCGTTTTCTATGATGATGGGGCAAGTTAATGGACCAAGAAAAGGAAGTAGGGTTACCAGCCACACTGAGGACCCATGTTGGCTAGCAGTATGTAAGACCATTCAGCATGATGGTCTGTTTTCCTCTGTTCAGCTCTGAAGATAACAGGTGCAAAGTAGGCTGAGATAATTTAGCTGGTGATGGGGCTTCTCATAGGTGAATGCAAAATAACTGAGGAAGGGATGGTGTTGGAATTCATGCAAAAGGGTGATTATAATGGAGGGCTTTAGGGTCTGTCTATTGGCTAACTGCAGAAATGAGGTCCGATATAATTGACTAGCACAGCTGGGCTAGTGAATTGTTGGTCAGTGTTGGGCTGTAGAGTTATGATTTGCATGCTAGAGACAGTGAGCTAGAGACACAGGAGATGTTGGGGAGAGAGCTGTGTTTAGGGCAGCAGAGCTGTTAGAGATAGTGCCTGGCAGCCAGGAGCTAGACTGTTCAGGAGTAATAGGGGGTGATCTATGGTGATCTTTGGTGAGATCGTAGGTGTACAGTCAGGTGACATGCGATTCAGAAGTGAAGCTTTCTCAGAATGAATGAGGAATGTTCGAAAACAGCATCAAGGAACACCCACTTCCTCTTAGGGCACTCATGCAAAGGGTGTGGGGACAACGTTAGCACTTGGGAGGATGGCAGAGGAAGCAGCATCCAGGTTTTGGTTAGGTTAGGGACTTGAGAATTAAAATATTGAAGCAGTATAGGGCATTGCTGATGACTAAACTCAAGACACAGAGGGCAAAGGCCGAGGGTTTAAGAAACTAGAGTATAGAAGTGGCACCAAAAGAGGATATTTTAGTCTGGGGGGTGAGACATAACCTAGGGTTCATGTCTTCTGACATAAAGAGGGCTAGAGGCTGGAGGACATTGTGACGTTGGGCCTGTTACCCTGAGGCAGGTACCCTGTATAAGGGAGGAAGAGAGGTGAGACCTTTCAAGAATCAGGACTCAGGATCATTCCTCACACCTGCTGCATAGTATTGAGGATGAGAGAGGAGCAGCCCTGTGCAGTGAAAAAGTAAAACAGGTTGCATTCACCGGGATTCACTGAGGCATCCGGTTCATAAGGGACAAAACTGGGACCCAGATGCAGGCAGTCTGTGTGGGGTCCTAGACTATACGAAATCTCTGTACCATTTCCATCCTCCAGCTCCTGAAAGCCTCTGCCTCTACTTCCCTGGACCACTTCTCACGAGGTGAGATTGCCTCATCCTTGTTCATCTCTCCCCATTTCCAAACAGTCTCCAGCATGTCCCCAGCCATTGCCTGCTGGGTATCTACATGTCTCCAATCCCGTTCCCACTCCAGCTTGGGTCTGGAATATGACGGTGTCCTTCCTAGTTGCCTCCAGCTTGGCATTCCCTCCATCCACCATCTCATTGTGGCCAGTGTGGTCATCTCTGATGTCATCACTTTCTTGCGACAGTGCTGTAGAGTTAGGGAGGTAGAAGGATGCAGGGCCTGAAAGGAGGTTTGTGACATGGAAGAAACAGCGAAACCTCCTGTCTTTCACTTTAGCCCAGGTGGTTTCCGGGTGCTGATCGTTTCCTTGCTTGAAATTTCTTTCTCTAGGGGCTGGGAATTTAGCTCAGCAGCATAAGCGCCTGCCTTGCAAGTGTGTGGGCATGAGTTTGATCCCTGGTACTGATAAAAATGGAAAGGAAAAAGACAAAAAAAAAAAAAAAAAAAGAAAAGAAAAGAAAAAATTTGTTCTCTGAATATTTTGATGCTGATTCAGAGCTTTTCTCTACTTTCTCTTTCTCAACTTCCCCTCATACTGTTCTCAAACATCCAGCCAGTCTCTGTTGTGGGAGAGCTGGGGTCCAGGTACTCCTGCTGGGTCACATTGAATACACCTTTTCAGGTTACATAGTGTGGCACAAGGTTAATGCGCTGAGCTATCTCAACTGGTGGCCCCATATTTTTCAAATCCTAATCTGTGCTTTCCAAGACAATAACTCCTAGTGGCTATTAAGTTAAAGTCAATTAAAATTAACACCAGTTCCTTAGTCACACTCCCTGAACACGTGCTAGTGGTTACCATATTGGACAGCACAGATAAAAATCATTTCTGTCACTGTAGAAGCTTCTGTCTCTTCCTGTTTGGGGTCCAAGTCCATCCCTTAGATTTGGTCCGAAGCATTCACTTGCAACCACTTAATCGGCTAATCCATCTGGCCACTACCTTGGTCCTTCCTGGTTGTATTAAGAGTTCTCCAGAGAAACAGAACCAAAGAGGCTGTCTGTCTACATATATGTATAATCATCTCTATTCTGTGTCTGTGAGTGAAAGGAATTGGCTCATATAATTATGGAGGCCAAGGAGTCCCACAGTAGATTGTAAACTGGAGAGCCAGGGAAGCTGGCAAAGATGGTCTGATCAAGACCAGAAGACTCAGGAAAAAGAAAGCTAACAGTATAACTTGCCGTCCGAGACCCAGCACCTAAGAACCTGGTGGCCACTGGTATCAAAGTCCTGGAGTCTGAAGACTGGAGAACCTGGAGTTCTGAGGTCCAACAGTAGAAGAAAGGAAGGAACAGCTCCCAGAGAGGAGGGGAGGAAATTTACTTTTCTCCTGTTTTGTCCCGTGTGGGCCCCAGCTCATAGGAAGGTGCCTGCCAGCATTGGTGAGGGCACATCTTCCTTGGCTCACTGATTGAAATGTCTGTGTCTTCCAGAAATGCCCTCCCAGATGTACCCAGGATAATGCTTCACCAAAACTTCAGTATCCTATTCCAGTCCATAGCTAAAGTGAACCATCACACTGGCTGTGGCCCTTCTGCTCCTTACTTGTGATCCCTGGCTCTGAGCACCCCCGATCTGACTCAGGGTTTTCTTCCTCTCACTGATTCTTGCTCATGGCTTGATCTTTCTGGTCCTGCTGCTTTGCCCTGGTACACTGGTATTTTCCCCAGCTCCTCATGAACCCACGGGTATGGGGAAAGGGCCCTAGGACGGACAATTGCTCAGGGCTCTGCAGCTCACTGGTCAGGCTAGAGGGTCCTTTCCTATCACTTGTCAGAGTCTTGGGAATGATCAAGTGGCATTAAGCTCACATGATGCATTGACATGCTGTTAATTCATTTAATTAACATGTCTACACTACCAGCTCTGCCATAAGTGTGGAGCTGTGCTGATGTTGGTTGATGAAATCTCTCAAGGCTTCTCACGCTGAAGACCGCCATCACCATCCTCTAGAAGATCTCACCACTGTCTTCCTTAACTAGAGATGCTAAGCCAACCTCCCTGAGTAGAGCATGGGCAGCTGTACATGCACACTGAGATTCTCACAACACAACACAACCGAAGAGCAGATTGAGTTCCAGCCAAACTCAGGCCCTTGCTGACTTGCTTCATTTCTCTGAATCTCCTTGTTGACGCTCCTCTGCCCTCAGAGGCTGCCATCGTCTCCTGCGGAAGGACACTTAAGGCTTGCAGAATCCTCATGCCCCTTCTCCCTCCCTCTCCCTTTATGAATCAAAAGAGGAACACTTCAGATTTCCTTTTATTCTTGCTTTAATTAGCGCATTTGAAATTTAACTTTTGTGACTAGCTGCCAACCTTGATGTGAGGGGTAAGGGAGCATTTGGAAGGTGGGGAAACTTCAGTGGTTAGTGAAAAGCCTAGCCCTGGACATGAACAATTTTGCATTGCCTTTGTCCTGGCTGGGAAAGCTGGCTGGAAGAGAGAGTGAAATAAAAATCAAGCTTTCAGGCTGGGGG